TATTGAAAGGTATAAGTCCCAGGATACTAAGAAATACTGGCTCAGAACAGTGGTCTCTGGAGGAGTTGGCACATGAGCCCATAAAACTACTATGCACAAAGTTAGTGGCAATAAATAGAAAATATATCATTCAAGAGATCCACAATCCAAGTTCAAAAGTACATCAAGAATGGCTAGAGAGATGGCTCAATGGGTAATTTTAGTTCAAGTCCCCAAACTCATGTAAAAAGCTGCCGGGTGTGACACACGTGTGTCTGTGTCCTTGGTGATGTGAAGTGGGCAGAGCTAGCTGTCTGTCTAGGTCTGGGTTCAGTGAGAGTCCGTGTCTTAACAGAATGAGGTGGAGCATGCTAGAGCAGGATACGTCTTGTTCTTCTCTGACCTCCCTCTTCCCGTACATAGGCGTGCGTACCTGTACATAAATGTGTACACAGTGCTCATGAGCGTGCATGCACATGTGCACACACATAAGAAGTCAAGAGGAAAGTGAACTTACAATTGGCAGCATGATACTTTTGTGGGGCTGGAGAGATGGCTCAGTGGTTAAGAGTACTGGCTGCTCTTCTGAAGATCCTGAGTTCAATTCCCACTAACCACAGTGACTCACAACCATCTGTAATGGCATCTGTGCCCTCTTCTGGCCTGAAGGCATACATGCAGGCAGAACACTATACACAATAAATAACTTAAAAAACAAAACAAGATGAGGGCTTTATGATGGCGGATAAGTTAGTCATCAATCTTATTATCCCAGAAGGTCATTTATGGTAGCCTTTCCACCATTGCTCAGATTGTTAGTTGGGGTCAGTCTTGTAGATCTCTGGACATTTCTCTAGAGGCTGTTTTCTCTTCAAACCTATATGGCTCCCTCTTTTATAGCATCTCTCTCTCTCTCTCTCTCTCTCTCTCTCTCTCTCTCTCTCTCTCTCTCTGTTTTCCTCTCGTATATTCCTCCCCAGACTCAATCTTCCTAGTCCCACATGCTTTCCTCTCCTCCCCTTCTCTTTCTCCTAGCTCCCTCTCCACTCACTGTCCTCCACACTCACAATATGCTCAGGAGAACTAGAGAACCCTTAGAGAAGAAACTGTGGAGTAAAACTGTGATGATTAATCTTGACTGCAAGTGAAGAGGGAAGATCCACTCTGAAAACTGGTGGCCCCACCTATGGGCCAAGGTCCTAGAGTGAATAAAATGGAAATGGGGAAGGCTAGAGAACACCAACACTCCCCTGTCTCCACCTCGTGACTGCAGTCACGCGTGACCAGCTGCCTCACAGTCCCTCGGTCGTGCCTTCCTTCCCATAATGGACTGTCCACTCAAACCACAAGCCAAGCTTCCTCTCTCTGGCTACTTCTTGTTGGATATTTGTTTACAACAAGAAAAATAGCTAACAGAGATAAGGTCCCAGATCATGTTAAAACGTCCATGAAGAGCAAGAAGAAACGGATTATACAGGCAAGCATTTAAAAATAATCACAAATGCTAAGAACAATAAACAAAACAATAGAAAGAAATCATTTATTTCAGTAAAGTAATGGAACATCTCTCTAAATTCAATCGGTGTATATAGCTATGTTTTCCAAAAGATCTAAGAAAGTAGAGAGAAGCCCAAGAAACTTTACTAGGCAGTAAGTGCTGTGCTTTGGAAGAAAAGAATGGAGGGAACCATACAGGAGCATGTTCAAAGAGAAAACAGTTGAGTTTTTCAGAACAGAAACCAGAAAAGAACAACCAAACAAACAAAAAACAAAAACAAAAAAGGGAGGAAGAAGAAGAAAATTCTGATTTCTTATAAAAGACAAAGAGAAGGCCAGAGTATTTGCTGTGAGATGGTGTCTTCTATGAATGTCAGAACTTACAGCCATGCAACCTCACCAGCAAGACTGCCTAAAGATGATCTGAACAAGACTGGTGTCAGTGGACATACCAATGTGGTTAGAGGTAAGCTCATGAAGCTTCAACACTACACAACGGTTGGACTACAGACAACTGCAGAATGCCAAGAGCAGGAGGAATAGTCTTCCCCAGGGAAGAGCACACAGCTAGCTTTCCAATACTAGATTGTCAGTGCTGAAAATTAACATACAAGCAATGTTATAGTGACTGAGTGTGTTGTATTTATGTATGTGTGAATATATATCATGTAAATATGCACATGTAACAACAATTAAAGGAGAAAGAAGCCACAAGCTTGAAGGGGGGATGGGAGGGTTTGGAGAGAGGGAAGGGAAGGAGAAAAGGTATAATCATATCATAATCTCAAAACAATAAAAAAAATAGCCTTTTAAAAGATGTACAGCTTAGCAAATGAGTTGAAAGTAAGTCCACTGTAATTCCGACAAAGGAGGCTGAGGCAGGAGGATTGCCGCAAATTTCAGGTGGGCCTGGACCACAAAGAAAGACCTCAAAAAACCTGGAGGATTGGGGGGGTGAGAAGCAGAAAGAGAAGGAGGATGACAGGGAGGAGGAAGGAGGGGGGAAGAAGAGAGAAATAAATCCACATTGAAACTCTTTTAAGTGAAATTGCAGAACACCAACAAAGTGTAGAAAAGGAAGCTTCAAAATCTACTAAAGGAAAAGAGGGTTACCTAGAAAAGAATATTTGGACTAGCGGTGGACATGTCATCAGCAGCAAACACGAAATAGTGTTTATGAACAGGTTTTTAAGTACTCCGAAGACTCTCCCCTTTATTTGCTTGTTTGTTTTTCTTGAAAGTAGGGATTGATCCTGGGACCTTAGGAATGCTCAGAAAGTGGCCTACTGCTGCGCTACATTCCAGCCCTGGTATAAAATTCTGACCCAGATAAATTTACATTTAGAGGAGAGCAATGACAACAACTGTAAATGATACTGTCTTGTGTGCCTCATCCAGATCACTGAACAGAAACTGGTGATTCAGTACTCACAGTGCCTGGCCAAACCAAATAGCAGAGGATTCTGTGAACTTACTGAAGATGTTTATATATGCAGCACCCACAGGGGCTCTGACCTCCTTTTGCCAATAGCCTTTTCTGAAGCCCATAAGGGACATTTGGTGATATTCCCGCTCAGGACGTTTACCACAACAAGATGTGGATCACTAAAACAAGGTAACTTTGGACCAAGAAACCCACTTGAAGTCCAGAACACAGCCATGATTGTTGATGTGGGAGCAGTCATTCATTCCTGGAGCCTCTGGGTAATGACAAAGGGGAAAGAGTCACATCCTCGTGTACAAAGCCTTTTCAAAGGGATTCAACGTTCTTGGTTCAAGTTCAAACTCATCAAAGTAGACACAGAATGTCCTCAAGGCTAGTTTCATCTTGAAGAGTGGGAGTTTCATTGCTGGCCCAACAACTGTACTGGGCTTGCCCTTCTGCTGTTTCCAACTAGAAAGCTGGGCAGGAGAGCCCAGACTGTCATCTCTCAGGAAGAAATGGAGGCAGATCCCGATGCCACTCATTGTTTCTACCTAAGGGCACTTTGAGACCACAGCAATCAGATTCCTCAAGAAAAACAGTCATCTGCCAAGCTAAAGGACAGAGCTGGAGTTCATGAGGCCGTCTCAGTTGGCCTGGATAGAATGGAGTCTTCTGGGAAAGCAGGCTACACAGACAAACAGGTTGTGATCTGCTCAGATGTTCCCCTGAGACAGTGAGGCTCCAAGAGCCAAGCAAAAAACAGTTTTAGGTGTAAGAACAACTATCGATGGATGTAAGCAAAACATTTCTCCAAAGCAGCTAACTCATGGATGGGTGATGCTGAACTTCCAACCCACTACAGGAAACCTGTCTAGGACCACATACCTAGACAATCCAGACTTCAGCTAGTAGAGCTAACTGGACATAGAGTTACAGTTATTCAAGGACCCAAAACAAAGAGAAAGATGAAAAGTATCTTCTGCAGTAGCCACTGTCCTCATGTGGACACTGGATCTATGAACTGTGGGCAACCAAAAAAGATGATGTTAAAGGTGTAAATAAAATACAAGCCATAGTTTAAGACTTTATGGGGGAATATGTTAGCTGTCTTATCAACAGTGCTTTGCTAGTAGTCTTTTTGTTTGTTTGTTGCTCGTTTAATTTTTTAGGGAGAGTTGCTTTGTTTAATTGTGTTGCTGGGGGTTGAATCCATGGCCTTGCTGTACAAAGCTGTTCTTCCAGTTCTGGTAAATAGTTTTAATATTGACTGCATGGAAAATGCCAATTCTTGAAAATACTGGGTTAAATAAGTATATTACTGTAATTAAAAACTTTTAAAGACATGAAAGAAAAGTCAGCAATAGGAAAAGAGGATTGCTTTTTCATACTGACTTAAGAGGGGGAGGAAGGGGTATCCCCCCATACACACACAGGAGATCCTTACAATCTCTTTTAGTTGTTTGGTATGGTAACATATGAGCCATAGTCTCACTTCCCCTAAATACTAGTATGCTTACTTTATGTGACTCCATTAAGTAGCTTCAGCTAAATTTGATTTTAACATAAAAGCTATTGTTTTATGAATTTCTGTGTCCAGATGATATTCTCAAACATAGAAATAAAACCAAGGTAATAAATAGGTTTTAAGGGCTTCTTGGGAAGATAGAAAGAGGGAGGGAGAGAGAGAGAGAGAGAGAGAGAGAGAGAGAGAGAGAGAGAGAGAGAGAGAGAGAGGAAAGAAGGAAGGAAGGAAGAGGAGACAGACCTAGTGGTTACCAAGTAGCTAATGTATTTCCTCTTTGCAACTCACTTTCAAAAAAACAAAAAAACAAAACAAACAAAAAAAAAAACAAAAACAAAAACAAAAAAATCCACCCCATACATTTATATTTTGTACCTGTATTCCAGTTCCCTGGTATAATCCTATTTGACAAATGTCTGTGTTCAATTTGAAAGTATTCTTGGAACCATGGAATGAACTGTTTAACTGTTAAAAGGCTTTACAAAAGGAACTTCCTTCTCAGAAGTCAAAGCAAATTTTGCCAATCCCTTGAATAGGTAGCATTTAAGTGGAAAATGAAATAATCAGCAAAAGAACTAGAAGTGCCAAAATGGTGCTTTAATTAAAAAATTATTTCCTCTATTATACATTTCCACACATAGAGGGAAAGCATCCCCCATCAGTGGGAGATCTGTAGGTAACTGCAACTCTTTGTTTCCACTTCTAAAACTTCTCAGTTCACAGTACATAAATATAAACACAAACACTGCAGATTCCAGTTCACATTTAATACAACTTTCATAGAGGTTTAAATGTAAAAACAACAACATAGCGGTAGGTGGAGGAAATGGTTGGTTTCAGAACTGGAAGAGAAGAAGAAAAGCAATTCCTGGAACCTTCTGGCCATTTTACCTTTGCTAGGCATCAGCTGTATTTGTAGGGGAAGACTAGGAGTTGCCAAATGGCAACACAATGGGCTTTCATTACCACTATTGGTGGTAGGCATGAGTCCATAACACGCCCTACAGCTACCACCCAGAGAAGCAATGCAGTCCTCTTTCTGAAATAGGTTAGAATTACCAAGGCAGTCCTGCTTTGGGGGTTACCATTATTTCTTTAGGAATGTTTCCAGGTTTAGGAGTGTATAAGGCTGTATCAGATTGCACAACAAGAAGAAAACTGAGAGGTAGTGTGGCTGGAATGATACACTCCTATTCAAAAACACTTTTGACACCTGAGAAACAATCAAAGTATTTTGAACCTATTCAAGCATTCGGATTTATTCTACATTTTCCACACAAATTTAAATCAGAAATATTGCATCACAAAACACCAATGGTCTGCACAAAAAAGACAGACCTTATTTAATTCTTCATTTAAATATGTTCTGAGGATGGCTATCCAAGTCTTTGTCTATATGTGGCTTATCTTAGAGTTGCTGTTAGGACAAATAGCCTCTACAGTGCGTGTGAGACTTTATAGCCAAAGTCATGCTTCTGTGACCGTGGAATGGGGTGGCCTAGCAAATACTAACTACACCCTTGGCTAGAGCATGATATTAAGTTTATATGCTTCTGTGTAGACTTCTATCTGGGTACACAAATCACTACTGCAGTTACTCTTGCACCTGCCCATAGTTCACATATATGTCAACAACACTCAAAACAGAATCATGGAATCTTCAAGTTTTATAAATATATCGTCCCTATAAACCTAAGGAAATAGAAAAGACACTCAATAAAAAGCCAAATATTTATAGACTTCCATTACTAAAATGTTCTTCCTTGCCTTGTATTTTTTTTTTTTCTTGTTTTGTTATTTTTGAGACAAGGTCTTACTCTATGACCCAGGCTAGTCCAGAGCTCACAATGTTGTGCAGTCTGGCTTAGAACTCATGGCAATGTTCCTGACTCAGGCACCAGTCACAGTATTGGTTTTAAAGGTTACCCCCCCCACTTCTTGATGGCTGGGATTGAGGTAGTTTTTAGTCGAGTCTTTGTGTTTCATTTTCATTTCTGTTGTCTGAAGTTGATTTTTCAATGTCTTTCCGAATTTCGTCTGCAAGAGTACAGCAGTTGATTTTTTGGAGGCCTTTAATTAAGGTGTGATATGCACCCTTCTTCCCATGAGATTGATACCACCACTGAAGTATCTGAATTTTCTGCTCAGCTGTGCTTTGTAAATTGTCATTCTTGATCTCATCTAGCTTCGTTTCAGAGATCTTGTTCTCCCGAGCAAATTTTTTAACTTGCTCTAGTGACATCTGTTCAGCAATATTCAGAATGTGTTCAGTCAAGTCAATGTCTGAAAAACAGAAAATGGTCTCAGAAAATGTCAATCTTAGAGGGATTTCTATTATGGTAATCAGGTTTACTTCTCTCCTTAAACATTTGGAGCACAGGTAGGTCCTATAGATGCAGACAGAATAAGCTTGAGTTGTCCTTCCAAACCTGCTGTGGCTCCTATAATTTACTCCCTGAGCTGGCAGGGACACATGACATCTTTATATCTTCTTATCTCATTAGTGAAATCAGAAGCTCAAAAAGGATCATGTCTAATACTTCCTAGAGACCTGATGACCTGTCTCCAAGTCACAGGTCAAAAGATAGGACCAAATAGAACTGGACTAGTTGCAGAGGTGAGAAAATGCCAACTGAAGATATGGTTCCATTTGATTTGGGCATCAGTTTATAAGAAGTTTTGTGATACAGCTAACAGGTTATGAAGAATCTTTTTTTTCTTAAATGCCTCATAATAAACTGTCTTGTCACTGCCTGATTTATTTTTAATTAAGACTATTACAAATTTAAACTCTTGATAGAACTGACAGTTTAAGGGACAGCCTAAAGAAAGTGTCACTGAAACTCAAACATTATTTCACTCAAAAACGTTAGAGTCTGTCCTGACAAAGAAATGCACTTCTGTGAAATAAAATGATAGAAAGACTTACCTGGGAAAATCATTGGCTTGATTTCCTGGGAAGAATAAAACAGAGGCAGAGAAACAATACATACTTGAATGTCATTTAATTATTTCTAAATTCAGAAGGAAACATTATACAATTGTTTGCTAGGTATACATAATTAGGAAACTAGAATTCGTGGTTAAGATGATTTCTTTCACTCATTCAGTTTTGATTCTGAAACGTTCCATCCTGCTGTGCTAGCTCCTGTCTAGCATTAGTTCTACGGCTAGCTATTGAAATCCATACTGTGGCTATTAAGTGGACTTAAAGAGCAACGTCTTGGCTGGGGTTTGGAATCTGAGTCCCGTATTTTGGCCAATGGCATTTCTGCAGGGAAAAATAGCAAAGTGAAACATGGCACTTTGCACATCCCTTTCCAGCTCACACTGGAAGGCTTCCAAGCTCCTTTATTGCTCCTTGTAGCATTTGTGTAAAGCCGTGTAAGGATTTATTTTATCCTGGAAAAATACCTCTTGTAAGTTTGTCTTCAGAAATCCAACTTTTTTTTTTTGCCCAATTCAGTAATAAGCTTTGAAACTATTTAAAACTGTCTATTCAGTCTGTTTAAATGTAACCCACCTTTGAGAAAACAATAAAACCAATCCAATACCTTGGACTCCCCATGTAATCAACTTTTTTACACGCTAACTTCAATGCATAACTGTAATCTTAAACTGTATTCCTTAATCGTGTCCCTCACCCAGAGAGATAATGTATGTGTGCATGAGTGCTGTGACGGTTCAGTCTACCACCATCCCCTGGAAACAGCCAGTAGACCTACAGCAACTAGACAACTATTCACTGTAAATGCTGAAGGCAACATGTAAATACAGGTTGATAAAATCTGCTCCTGGTTTTGGGTGCTCTTCTGGGTCAGTAGGGGTCCAAAACCAACTTCTTCCCTTGGAAAACTCTGGTAAAAGAGTCTTTAACAACAAGTTCCATGTCCCTTTCCAATACCATCTTCATTGTGCTGTCCCACAGAGAGTACATAGTCCCCACAGGCTCCATCTCCACTGAAATGACTATAGAGATTGATGCTTTTATATGGCACCCCACAAAAACTTACTAATAAGTTAGCTGCTGCCCTGTTAACTCATTACTAATGTGTTTCTAACCTGTGCATGAACAAACACATACTTTTTTTAAATTTTATTTTATTTATTTTTTATTGCGCTATACTTTTTTTCTAAAGAATATATTAATTTTGTTTATTTCTTCCTTCCTTTTGTTTTGTTTTGTTTTCAGGAAAGCCAATGCGACTTTGTATGCCTACATATTTTTTAAAGAATGTACTAATTTTCTTTTGCTTTTTTTTTTTGTATATTTGTTTGTTTGTTTGTTTTGTTGTTGTTTTTTTTTTTTAAGAAAGTCAATGCAACTTTGCATACTCACAGGATTTAAGATCCCAGATTCAGGGTCATCATGGTGTCTTTTCTGATATTTTCTATAGAAAATCACTGGAAGACCCAAGAGATTGATGTCAGACTCACATGCCCTTCTAACAGGAAATCCTCACGCTAAGGGAGTGAACTGAAGGGACAGTTACTTGTTCCAACAAAGAAGGAAAAATTAGAAGATTCTGAGTCACTGAAAGTTGATGGATCTTATCATTGCCAAGCTTCAAGGTAATTTTCTGAATAACTATGATGATACCCATCTTTCCCTTAACTACTGGCAAACACGTCATAGATTTTAAGTAAAGACACAAAATAATAGAGTAATTAAAAAACATTATAAATAATAAACATTAAATATACATTAAAATAAATGGTTTATTGAGGGAGGGCAGGCCCAGAGAAGGTCATGTTCACCAGGCGTCACTGTCATACTCTGCTTGGCCTTCTGTAATTTCTCAATGGGCATAGTGGCTACTTCTCATGTCATTTCAATGTACGGTTTAAACATATAGAGGACTCACCAAGTATTATCAAAATGGGGATGAACAACCATAGGAGGTGATACATTCTGGAACCTGTGGACATTTTATATGAAATTAAGCAGCTTTTAAGATAAAGTAAAGCCCTGCTCTCTCAATCAATAACAAGCCAATGCGCTTTTTATTTTGACATGATGATGGGGACAGGGAAGGGATATAGTCATAAAAACAAATGATTACTTTTTTGCTTGCATTTGGTATTGCTGGTTAGTGTGCACCCCTCGAGGACTCCATGTTCACACCTGGGGGAAAAGGCAGAAGAAACTTAGAAGCCCTGCATAGATTCCTTCCGCCTTTCATTATCCATTACAAATCAGGGTTCATTTTATTTGCCCTTTCATCTCCGACACTTGTTTCCTCTCAGACATTTCTAGATCTCCATCAAAAGCTGCTAGAAGCTAAGAACTGTGATTGGGTGTTCATTTGAACAATGTTACATCTGCTTTAAGATATAGGAGTTAGAGAAATGGCTCTGTGCTTGCTGCCTGTGGAGCGGATCTGAGTTCAGTTCCCAGAACCCACGCAGAGCAGCTCACAGCCACATCTAACTCCAGCTCCAGGGCATCCAACAGCAACTTTTGGCCTCCCCACAATTGTGGCCACATGATTATTCCCGTGCCACTTATTTACAATGTAAAACTAAAAAAATCCAAGTGACGTCAAGAGTTTTAAAAGATAATAAAATACCAACATACAAAAGAAAGGGATAGACAAAAATAAACTTACAATTGGTAATAAATTGAATTTTTAAGACACAAGCGCTTAAGTGAATTATTTAAAAATAACTTATCAAGGGCAATTTAAAAAATGAAAAAGCCTCATAAACCATTAAAATGGCCTGAAGGAAGCCACTACCTAGGATGTTGCCCAGGGCCCCAGCAGGAAGTGATCAGGACAGTCAAGGGGTACTTGTGGCATTTTCTTCAGATAGGTAAATTCTGATGGTCCAAGTTCACAGCCCACCTCTTCCTGAAGCCTGTGAAGGTGTGCTGAAAGATCAGGTAGCCTCCAGGAGCCTATAAGCTCACCAACAGCATGGAGATAATTACATTATACCTCAGAATGCCAACGAGAAGAAAATTGAATCGTAATTATAAAGTGTACAGAGCTATTATTGTGTTGTGACTTGACCAATAACTAACTTCCTGGCAACCCACCTTCCCCTCATCACTCTCAGACATTTGGAGCTAGAGAGGAGAGCAAAGGTAACAACACAAATGTTTTTTCTTTTTTCTAATAAATAAGATAGAAAGCATGATGTCTGCTTTCCAAACCTATTAGATGATCCCAATAGGTTCCAAAAGCAAGTTACAGGCCTATGGCATGGCAAGGGAATAGCAGCTCTCAGCATCCTATAGAAAACCAACATCTTACAAACCAAAAGCTACTTTTCTTTCAGTGCTGAGAATTGAACCTAATACCTGACACCTGCTGGGCGACTGCTCTACCACTAAGGTGTATCCTGAGATGCAAAAGCTGTGCCTGCAACTCATAGTAGCTAGTGTGATCTCCAGAAAAATGTGGCAAGTGGGTGGAGCTAAATAAATAGACTTTGCATTCCGTGCGTGAGAAAACCGAAGTTCAGACCGGTTAAGTAATCTGCTCAAACTGACCCAACTGATCAGCAGACAGGTGAACAGGGCAGCCAGGTTCTCTAGATTTGAGTCAAAAGCAAGCCCTTTAGCATCAATGGGAAAGTCCTCATGGTGCAATTCCTTTTCAGGCTTTTCTACCTTCCAGCAGATATGGGAGTTACCCATGCCTCTTTGGAGCTGTTGTCCCTGCCTGAATGCACTCCCACCTACATATTCTTCAAGACTCTCACCTTCCACACAGAGTCAAAAGGTCTTAACCACAACTTGTACCATTCCAAGCACAAATAAAGTGTTGACATACAATGAGCATTACCTTTTTGGCTTTCTTTGCTCTGAGAACCAAAACCTTCATGACAGTTACATGACATCCATCCCTAATCTAAGCAGCCAGTAGTGTCATTTGAACAGTTTTGGTAATGTTTGGAGACTGGGAAGTGCTCAGTGATGTCCAGTGCTGATTGGTGGTAGCTGAGCAAATGGGAGACAAGCATAGAACTCAGTTCCTAACTCACTCTCAGCGTGGCTCTTCTCTGGGAAGGTAGGATCTCCCAAGTTACAGCTAGTGTTTTAGGCACTCAATATTGAAACTTACGAGGCGCAAGGCTCACAGTGTTCGCAGGCAGAAAAGTTGCAATAGAAGTTGGGTTTACACTTGCACTTGGTATTCTGGGTCCGGGTACAGATTGTTTCCACTTCTAACCCTTGAAAGCCAATTTACAAATTAGTAACTGTAGCAGGTAGTTAAAACTAAGATATGAAAATAATGGCCAGATTTACTGCTTATTATCAACTGTTACACTATCACACCTTTAATAACAGTGTTTACTATCAAAAAAAAAAAAAAAAAAAAAAAAAAACGGCAATATCAGGTCAAAAGGACCAGCAATCAAGTAGAGCTGTTAGTGCATAGACAATCCAGAAAGTCAGACACTCCCCCCCCCCCATTGCTTAGATGGTCCCTGCATTCCTTTAACTTGAGCCGTAAATACGTGAACTGGAAATTACCACCACCACCACCACCATCATCATGTTTAGCATGTTGGAATGCTACATGATAAGCCTAAACTAGGCTTAAACAAACATATGTTCAGGCTCCACTTGGAAATTTTGATTTAATTGGGAGCTGAGACCTAAAGCATTAATTTTTCAATAGCTCCTAAGCAGCTCTGATATGGCTGTTGCTGTCATTTTGTTTTGTTTTCTTCTTAGACTTGAAAATAGATTGAAATAGCTACAAAAATTTAGGTCCCCAAGTAGAATGATGGTGACAGACCAGATCCCCAAAGATGAGGGGACATCCTCCCAACACCTTGGGTTTCTCTGTACAACCATGGATAAGAGCCACAAGACAAGTTAAAATAAAGGTGGGGGGAAATGGCTTCTATGAGCGGCTTTGATTGCAGCTGGTGTGTCTCTGCTCATGGGGTTATTTAGTCTTTTGTCTCCTTTTGAGAGAATTACTGAGAAGACTCTTAAAAGTGATTACTACCTTAATTGCACATTACCCAGCTAGCCTCATTCTGCTCCTTCCTGTACGCCAGCATAGTACCAGAGTCGGTCCCAGTCTCAAAGAGAGTCATGTATGGTAGCAGGCCTCTGTCAATTGTTTTCTTAGATACATACCATGTCCTTCATCACACAGTGCACACCTTCTGCATTTGTCAGAATAATGTTCCTTGTCCATGTATTCCTTCCCTTCCGTGCAGGGACGGCAGCTTGGTTTACCACCACTGCTTGTACAGTCTGAATGTTTTTGTTCACCTAACATGGAAAAAGAACATTAAATTAGGAGCCAGGGCAGTTGCCATGTAACATTTGGTCAATCAGAGTGACCAAATGCACCTCTCTAAAGAGAAGCTAGATAGATGGTGGAGGCCTTTGGCCTCTGAGATTACCAAACAAACTTTGTTCTGGTTCTCATTTTGTTTTCCCAAGTCCAGAGTGCTTAATGCCTGTGTAGGCCTAAGTTTTTGTCATATAAATGATAAAGCCTTCTCTGTCATTACTATCTGAACTGTGCACATGCTACCAAATAAGGACAATTCCATCCCCCTTCTATTTATTTTCTATCCAGGAAAGCAGTACATTTTGGAGACAAACACAAATGTATTTCTAGAGTTTCTTATCAATGCAAACAATTTGAAATAATATTCATCTTTGCTTTGATTTACTAAAGTAAGTCATTCTATTTCTGTGACTAAGCCATTATAGAATAATGGCTTCTGGAAAGATAACATATTGAGCAACTGTTTATTAAGTGCCTATTGTGTTTTAAGAGATCTCTAGAAGCTGAAGGAAGTCGTGCAGGAAATAAGACAAAACATTAGTTCCCAGGGCCTTCACCTTCTCAGGCAGAAACACCAAGTGGCAGAAAGTGGCAGTGGGTAATGAACAAAATATACAGGGAAGAGTAGCAGAGATGCAGTACTATGGACTTCGGTCGCTGATGTAAATGATGATAAAGGACAAACGCGATCAGCTCTGTTCAGCATGCACAGAAGAGCAAATGTAATCTATGCTGTTTCCTATTCCATGATCTGGTGAATTTCCTCATAGAACGCTTGTTGTTGAAACAACATTTACTATGTAAAGTCAGTTATTAAATGAAAATGTAAGTGACATTCTATGATCTTTTAGTAAACACAAACAAGTCTTATTTTTTAAAAGTAAACCATGAGAATATAGAGCAAAATTCAAATGGCACATCAGAGCTACACAACCTTCTATAGCAGTATTCTACCAGGGACAGAGCAGAAGAGGCATTGAATTCCTTGCAGGTGGTAGGACACTGCTATCTAAGTGAACTGAATTATCTAATAAGCTAACTTATAGATTATGCCTAGCTTTACATGAAAATAATTTAATGGGGGGTGTCCTTCTGAATTCTGTGAATATATGTTTCTCTTATTGGTTGATAAATAAAAGCTGATTGACCAGTAGCAAGGCAGGAAGTATAGACAGAGCTACCAGACTAGGAGAGGTCTGGGAAGGGACACAGAGAGTGAGTTGCCAGAGAGACCCCACATAGTCACCAAAGGAATAACATGCAGGAACATTATGGGTAAGCCATAGCCTTGTGGCAATACACGTTTAATAGAAACTGGTTAACAATTAAGTGAGAGCTAGCTAGTAAGAAGCCTGAGCCATTGGCCAAACAGTTTGTAATTAATATAAGCCTCTATGTGTTTACTTGGGACTTAAGGGTGGTGGGACCAGGCAGACAGAAACTCTGTCTTCAGCAATTAAGATTATTTCCCCTAAAGTACACAATCTAAATTTTCTAAAAATACAAAAAAAAATTACCCAAAAAACAACAGGATTTCAAAACATATCATTTTCTTATAGCCACACACTTGCTTATTGCCAAAAATTTGGAGGTAATGGGAAATTATTAAAAACACCTACACATCAACTACCTTGAAATATTTATTGTCTTATTTTGTTGCACTCTTATGCATGAAATATACTATATATGTACACACATACATATATTTAGTAGTATAGAGGCAGCATATATTTTTATATGTAAATATAATAAATAAGAAATACACTGTTGAATTTATCCTACTGGATATCAAGATGTGGTGAGGGCTTCTCAAGTATTTAATTTTTATTTAATTTTTTAAATTTTATATATGTATACAGTGAATTATAATCAACAAAATATATCAGTTTACATATGTGATCACTGAAAAATATATTTTAGTTTTATTTTAAAGAGTGTCTATAAAAGTATGCCAATCATTTGACTTAGAGATAAGTTGTAGACTCTTTTTACTGAAGTTAAACCACCTGTGGTTTCTGTTCAGCTTCTCCCCCATCCCCTTCTCCCACTTCCCTTCCTTTTGATAAAAAAGAAAGCTTTATCACATCAACAGTCTGTATAAATTCCTGAAAATCTCCAAAATACTCAGCCTAGTTTTGATTTAGATCATCATTAATATCATATATTACTATCAGATCACCAATACTATCAATGGATTTGAACCTAAATTAAATGTTGGTAAGCCTAAAATTCAACCAGAGAGAATAATGGTGATGCACATTCTGTGTATGTTGAATACCATGTGGGATATATTAGTGAAGGGGCAGATAGATTAAAAACCTTTAGCGCAGCCAGAGTGCCAGTTTTCAGCTGCTAAAAGAAATGAGTGCAACTGGGGATTAGAATAGGAATATACCAGGAATGTTGATACACTCAGACTCTGATTGATAGAAACTACCCCAGCCTTTGATTACTCTAGAATTTACATGCACAATCCTACATTGTTGGCTATCAAAATGAAATGCCACCCACACAAAACTTTCATTTTTTAAAATGCATTTTGCTATAAATAACCCATTACTGTGTCACTGGGCAATGGCATTGTCCAGTTCACGACACACGGCCCATTTCCCTTCTTAAAAGTTTGCTGCAGACATGAGATTTCCCCAAGACAAAAGTGCAGTAAAAGCACATAGCAGAAATCTTTGAAACCTGCAAAACACATCTTCTTTGTTTTAACTTGCACTTTAAATTTTAACCATAAAATTCCAAAATTTAAAACTATACATATAGACTTCAAATTCATAGGCTAAGCCAGGGGGTGGGCGTAGGGGTGGCGTGGCCCACACCTTTGATCCCAGAACTCAGGAGGCAGAGGCAGGCCAATCTCCGTGAGTTTGAGACCAGCCTGGTCTACACAGCAAGTTCCAGAACAGGCTCCCAAGCTACACAGAGAAACCCTGTCTCAAAAAACCAAACCAAAACAAAACAAAATTCATAGGCTATGTTAAATTGACTGTCTTCAGCAACTTAAAAAAAAAAAAAAAAGCAATAGGTGATTCCTAATTGCTGTTTGGAGAACAACTGTGCAACTGTGTAGGAACTGGGTTGTATCATATGGGAAACTTTCTTGCTAGACTTAGTAAAACCTGGACAGGAGGGTGCCCCAAGGTGATGCTTGAGTCTTTGTAGGTGCATGATCTGAGCCCGCTTTGTATTTTTTGGTACTGCAAGCTTGAGAGGTCAATGATGAGACCTACAGAAGCCTTTTGGAGGTCTATGACTTTTGCCTGAAACCTGTCAAACAAACCTAAATGCCATTGGGTCACCGTTTTATCCTCGAAACGCACCTGAGACAGATATTTGTAAGTGATTTTGGACAACCCCAAAGTGGAAACTAAGTTTACAGGATTACATTTTTCTGAGCCTTTCATTTGCTGGTGCTTGAAAGAGTTCCAGTTTGAATGTGATTTGCATTTCAAAATACTGATTTTGGAAAAACTGTTGGTTTCAGTTCATTGCTTTTCTAGCTCATCTGGTTATTTGGCTGCAAAATGCAAATGTATTTTGCAGGCATCCATGACAGGACAAAGAGAGAGAGAGAGAGAGAAAAGGAGAGAGAAAGGGAGGGGGGAGAGCAATAGAAAGCTTTAGCAATAGGCTGAGGAGAGGGGTGAAGATATACCGCTTAGAGTGGAATGTCTTTGTTGAGGGAGACCCAGAAGTAGTCACATACACCCTGGTCAGCTTTGAGATATAGGTCTTTTAACCCTCACAAATGAGTTTTCCTTGGCTCATGAGAAACAGCTAAATAGATGATTCTTCTCATTTTAGACATATATGGCATAAACTATGTTTCTTCATAAGTACCCCAGACAAGAATGATAAAAATGGAAAAATATTGTGTTTGGAGGATGTTTATAGTCCCCACCCCCTTTGTAATACTATCCACTACAGGACAGCCAATAGCTATATACCTAACTGTCCAACACATTATTACCTAGAGGACATCTCAATCCCTCACCCTGATTCTTCCACTCATCTCTGGATGTTTCATATGACCTACCAGGCTGGCACGGTTGACAGCAAAAATCTCCCCCATGATATAATCCTTCTGGGCAGCTAGTCTCTGTCTCACGAACATTCCTCCTCAACTCGGTCGCCTCAGAGAGGCTATCCACCTCTTGGGTATGAACACTTAACTGTGATCCTGCAAGCACCTGTGGAAGAAAAACATACTAAGGATCTTAGTGATTTCTGAATCAAGAGATGTGGGAAATATGTGTCACCCACCCGAAGTGATCGGATCTGTGTACAGGCTAAGCAAGGTCATGCTGACAATGGCCGGAGAATGGCAACCTGTGGCTCTGCAGATCCAAACATGGGTTTTTCTAGCTCACACTAGAAACACAGGGAAATCCTGTCCCACTTACTGTTCCATGCCTGGGTATGAGGGAGGAGAGAGGGAAATTCCACATGGTCTATCAGTCTCAGGCTCTTTATCTCAACAGTGGAAATAATCCCTACCTCACAAGTCTGTTGTGAAAATTAAATGGAACCATGCCTTTAAAACTCTCAGCCCAATGCCTGGTACTTATAAAAATGTTCCCTGAAAGTGGCAGTATTACTATTGTTACTATTAACATAAAGTTCCACTAACAAAATAGAGAGAAAAACTCAAAGCAAATATAGTTGGAAACATAGTTCTGGCCTCCAATAATGACTAACTTTTCTGTGCCTTAGTTCCCTCATGTGTTCATGAGACTAGTATTTTGTGTCTTTAAATGTTAATCATGAAGATAAAAGTGGTCATTTCTACCAGACAGGATAATTACTCAGAGCATGTCTATGCTTCTTTCTTGCTACCCAGTTCCAGAATCAAAGCTCTGATCAATGTTTCACTGTTGTTCAAAGATACAATAAACTTCCCACTAAATCTATACAGGTCTCTTCACTTTGTTCAGGAAATGTATATATGTATGTATGTATGTATGCTTTTCTTTATAAAGAACGAATCTTTAAATCTATTTTTAATTATTTTCTCCTGAAGACATAAATCCAGAATTCCAAGTGAAATTATTTCCAATTTTTCTTTGCTAGCTATACAGTTGGAGTTCCTTAGGAAAACAAACAAAATGTGTATTAAGCAACTTAGAGGTAACACCTGCATGGTTCCTTTCTCAGAATTTCTAAGTATAATTTACCCTACTGAGGGATTAAACCCAGGACCTCAAGGATGTCAAGAGAGATATCGATCACTAAACTCCACCCACAATCTATTGCTTTTAAAACACTCAAATCTGAGCTCTTTACTCTAAGATATCTCTAACATGAAAACTTACATAAACTATATTTTTTGGCATCAACTTTTCAGATTGGTAATTTCTGTCTCTTGCCTCCTCAGCAACATAAGGTTGTGTACTAGTTCAGTAATGCCAGGTCCTCTTTCAGACTGGGTAGATGTTGACTACGGTGACAGAACTGGGGATGTTAGGAAATAGTAACTTATTTGGAAATATGCCAAAAGGTTAATTGTTCAAATAAGAGAGGTTTTGCACAAAAGCCATTCAAATTCTCATAGATCTTTACTCTATGACTGTGTCAAATTCGTACTGGTCAATGAGGGGTGAATTAGCAACACCTGAAAATTCTCAAACTAGGGATGGAGATTATGGCTCTGTTGTTAAGTGCTTGTGATGCAAACATGAGGACCCAAGTTGGGTGCAGAACCCAAATAAAAAAGCCATGTGTCAGCATTGGGGAAACAGAGACAGGGTAATTCTTGGGGCTTGCAGTCCAGTCACCTGAGGTGAATCAGCAAGCTCCAGGCGGGGTGAAAAATAAGTTTCTCTCAAAAAAATAAGATGAAGAGTCATTGAGGGAGTTACTGAATGTCTACCTTCAGTCTCCACATGCACTCATTAAACATAAACATTGGGGGGGGGAAGACTGGACGGGGGGAGGGAATGGAGGGGAGAGAGAATTGTCAAATTAGGAAAATATCTCAAGAGTATAAGTCCTACTTGTAACAATAATCAAAACTGGATCTAAATGACCACCAGGAAGAGGGACAACTCCTTTTGTCGTCAGCCATGTTGGTTGGTTGTTGTAAAGAGTAACATTAGCGTTGAGTCAAACTTGCTTTTCTTTCCTATCAGTTCTGTTTTGTTTTTTGTTTTCTCATTAGAAACAAGAAAATGACACAGATTGAAACTCAAAGAGAGGGCAATTTCGTGGTTGGGGGCTAGCCCAAAATTGACAAATCTAAAGTACTCAAGCTTCATGCCTAAGTGTACATACATATGTGTGTGCCCTGTGGATGTACAACCTGTCCTTGATATGAAATTTTTAGCCAACATCTAATAGAAACTATATGTGTTGTCCTCAATTTCTAGCATAAATGGTTAAGCAGCCAGAGCAGAAGGACAGAAATCCATACATTTATGGGTCATTGCCACTAGTACCTTTCCAGAAAAAGATACATATGTTATACAATTTGGAGCTTTCTAAAAGAAATGTACCCCTCACCTACTATACCCCAACTACTTGGGATTCTGAGGCCTTCAAGTTCAAGGTCTACTGGATTACTAAGTGAATTCAATACCAGCTTGACAAGCAGACCATCTCAAAATAAGAAGGTTGCTTTTGTTGCTGTTTATAAAGGAGGCTTGGGGATGTAGCCCAAAGGTAGCAAACTTGCCTAACAGGACTGAGTACTTTAAGTGTACCCAGGGCAGGGAATCATTATCTGAAATCCATTCAGAATCTGAGAAATGTGAAATCCTCAGTCATGATGAGTAGAGACACAAGTCTCTAGTGCTATTCTGCCCCAACCCCCTTTCAGATATAGTCACACACACTCCACAGACTTCATCTCTTCAGGAAATGGTCCTTGCTTACTACTACATCAACAAATTACGCCTGGTGCCAAAAAGAAAGTTGCTCTGAAGTGTGTGTCCTGGCTGTTTGCAGAGCTATGACAAGCCGCACTCCACACAGTTTGCATTTAAAAAGGTTTGCATGTATTCATCTTTGCAGAGTGCAATGATCTAACCCAAACTATTTGGGCAGAGACTGGAGCATTTCAATTATGATGGGGCGGGAACCCCACAAATCTAAATGTTCTGAGTGGTTTTGTTTTGTTTTCTGAGAAGCAAACAGGCATAAAAAGAGTTAAGGATTGGAAACTTTGGCAAAGGACAGCAGAGGAAAGAGGGAAATACAAGTTATCTAAATACCCATCTTCTTAAGAAAGACATCTTAAAGAAAGAGAAACAGTGACATTACAGTCTGCAGAAAGAAGTATAGGTAAGCAAATACACCGTTGAGTACCTACTGACCTACTGTGTGTCACACATTGTCTCATTATCTGGAGATGCCTAAGAACAAACCCTAGTGGAAAGATAAATCCTCTCTCCTAGCATTGTTTATATGCAAGTGAGTGCATCTGTCACCAGGGAAATGGAAATTTATCACCAAGGAACTGTGTGTGTGTGTGTGTGTGTGTGTGTGAGAGAGAGAGAGAGAGAGAGAGAGAGAGAGAGAGAGAGAGAGAGAGAGAGAGAGAGAAGTCAATATGCATAAAAGTAAAGAAAGCTGGGAGGCATAGGAAATTTGAGTACTGGGGGCATATTCATTAAGAAAAAAGTGGTCTCAGCTAGTAAAACCAACTAGTAATATTCTGCTAAAGGCAAATAGCAATCAAATGATTCCTAATGACACATTGCTGTACCCATTGGTCAGTGCCTCCCTCAACCCTCATCAGAGAAGTTTCTTCTTGCAGTAGATGGGAATTAACACAGACTCATAACTGGACAAAGGGCAGAGAGTGGGAGACTTAGGAACACTCGGTCCTAAATAGGATGTCTGCATCAAACCCTGTCCCTCAAGGCTCAGGGACCTATGTGGAAGAGGAGGCTGAAGGACTGTAGGAGCCAGAGGGGGTGGATGACTTCAAGGAATCAGTGTCTTCCAGATGCAGCAGGAATGATGCCCGTATGAGCTCACAGAGACTGAGGCAGCACACACAAGACCCACACAGGTTCAAGCCAGATGGGGTCCCAGCACTCAGGGAGATGTGGATACTGGCTCCCACCCTTAACCAAGAAGCTGTTTGCAATTGATACCACTGGCAAAGGGAAAATCCATTTTCTAAGAGAATGTTACTGAGTATATTAACCACATCCCAGGGCAGGTCCTATGCCCAGGACTACCAGGGCTAGTTAGTCAGCACAAAATGAACTCCATGTATTTTTGTTTTTGTTTGTGTGTGTGTGTGTGTGACCTCTTTTTTTAATTTGGGCACTTTTTTGTCTTGTTTTTTGGGTTTTTTTTTTTTTTTTTTTTTTTTTTGCTTATTTGTTTTGATTTTCAGTTTTGTGCCTCTGTGGGAGGTTCCTTTTTTGTTTTTGAAAAGAGACAGATCATAGAGTTGGGTGTGTAGGGACATGGAGAAGATCTGAAAGAGGGAAATACGATCAAAATAAGTCACATAAAAGAGAAAAATTTTAATAAAAAAGTAAAAAGAAGGCCACTGAGGAGTTACAGACCCGTTGATATATAAGAGACAGCCACGTTCAGGACTAGCTTATCCAGGGCTCCTGACCTAGGAAAGAATCCCGTTGGTACTCACAGCCACAGAGAAGCCTGTATTTCTAATGCTGCATTCACAAACAAGCTGGAATGTCAATTTAGAAAGGCATCACGGTGTCTGCTCAACTCCAGATTTTAAAAAATGGATCTCCTAGGGCTAGAGCTGGGTCAACAGTAGGACATATACACTGGTCTCGAAGAGGACTAGAGTTTGGGTCCCAGGACCTACATCAGGCAGCTCACAGGCCCTTTTAACTTCAGTCCCGAGAGGTCTGTTGCTCTCTTCTGGTCTCCCTGGGTACCTCTGCACTCGTGTGCACATGTCCGCTCACATACACATAATTAAAAATAAAATCAATCTTCTTAAAGTAGTGTCTACTTGATTAATTCGTTTCCTATAGATTTTAATACTTCCTGCACATAAGAAATTTGTTTTTCTCTCGTCCTTTCTGAATACCTTGTGACCATGTGATGCGAGAGGACCCACCCTTATTTACATTCCCCCATGGCACTTGGCTAGCCCTCTACAAGGTTCATTAACATATACTATCTCTTTAGTTAGGGTAACAAAAAATCATGAAGACTCATTGCTGTAGCTATAGTTGAAGCTGAACGCAGCATCTGTGGA